TTAAAAAAAAAAAAGTCCTGAAAAACCTAGTTTATGTGTTATCTGTAGTATTCCTTGTCATTTTTAGAGTGGTCCCAGCATCAAAGATCAGGAAGGAAGAAGGAGTGAATTAGTAACTTACTAAGGAAACTTCCCTGATGGGGTGAAGTGGGCCATTTCCAAGATATTTTTATTTTTCTCAAATTAAAAAAGACAGAAAAGAACTAAGAGCTCATACTTAACAACAAAAAGGTATTAAGAACTACTGATTACTACCAACTATTTCACATTCCACACAATTGGGAATGATCAGTAGCACTTAATACCCTTTTGTTAAGTGTTAGCAACTATGTGTTAATTTTGTTTTATCTATATTTTCATACGCAAGGTGAATTTGCTTTGACAGATTCTACTTACTCTCAGCTGTGGATAGAAATGCCATGATTTGACTCTTTTTACTTACGAAAATTATTTTTAAAGATGTGTGAAGCAGTCTCAATTCACAGGAGTTAGAAGTGGAAATAGTTTAAGTATTATTTCTAAGACTAAGTGGCTATAACAAGAATCTGAACTTTACCTATCATTATTTGGTATATGAGCTAGTTCTGTAAGGTTAATCTATTTTATTTTTGCTGACTTATCACAGATTGTTATTTATTTATTTATTTATTTTTAAAGAGGCCAAACATGGTTGTAGTTCTAGCCCCAAAGGAGATGTGCATGATGATAGCAACTGAAAAAGAATACCACTGTGGTTACACTTGACTACACAGTGAGCTAATAGTGCTCGGGGCGCTTCCTGCGGGGTGCATCCTCTTGGAACAGTGGCTTCTTTTGACCCTAACAAACCAAATGTGGATCAAATTAAAGGGACTAGCTTGGGTAACAGCACCACAGTGCCCTTTCTTGGGGATCTCTGTGAAACATGGCAGTGGTATCATCACAAACATATTCTGGATTTGACAAAGTTTCATGGGAACTAATTGATTTCATAGGAACTAATTGACTGGGATTCTTCCTCTTTCTCTGCCCCTCCCTGCTCATGTTCTCTCTGTCTCTCTCAAAATAAATAAATAAAACTTTAAAAACTTTTAAAAAATAGCAGCAATATTGAAAATTGAGTTTGGGCATGAAAAGTTCACAATTTGCATCTCTGGTTCAAATGAGGTATCCATCATAAGATTGTGATACTTTTCTCATGATTTTTGAGCCTTTTTCTATAGAAATTAAATTTATAAATGAACATTAAATTGGGGCATCTGGGTGGCTCAGTCAGTTAAGTGTCCGACTCTTGGTTTCAGCTCAGATCATGATCTCATGGTTCATGAGTTCAAACCCCAAGTTTGAGCCCTGTGTTGGGCTCTGCACTAAACAGCATGGAACCTGCTTGGGATTCTCTCTGTCCCTCCCCCCTTCTCTCTCTCTCTCTCTCTCTCTCTCTCTCTCTCTCTCTCTCACACACACACACACACACACACTCTCAAAATAAATAAATAAACATTAAAAAAAAAGATACTAAAACAGTGTATTATATTTGTAATTTCTTATGGAGGCAAATTGAATTTCCTTATACCAATGAAAATGGTGAAAATTATAATCTATTCACCTCTTTCTAGACATACACCTGCATAAGCCCTGGTAGAAAATCGCGAATAAGGGGTGCCTGGGTGGCTCAGTCGGTTAAGCATCCGACTTTGGCTCAGGTCATGATCTCGTGGTCCGTGAGTTCGAGCCCCGTGTCGGGCTCTGTGCTGACAGCTCAGAGCCTGGAGCCTGTTTCAGATTCTGTGTCTCCCTCTGTCTCTGACCCTCCCTCGTTCATGCTGTCTCTCCCTGTCTCAAAAATAAACGTTAAAAAAAGAAAATTAAAAAAAAAAGAAATTAGCGAATAAATTAGCATCATGATAAAAGACTATAAGATCTGTGTTCTGATGGCAGTAAAAAAAAATGTAATAATTCAATCATTCTTCTTGATGAAGTATACTGGCTTTGGAATCAGATTGCTTGGGTTCTAATACCGGCTCTCTGGTTTACTTTGTCTCTAGGGCAGGTCCCTTAACCCTTCCTACACTGTTTTTTTTTTTTTTTTAATCATACAATGGGCATAGCAATAATAATGCCTGTTAGAGGGCTTCTGTCAGAATTTGTTCACATGTCCCTTAACAGTGGTTCACACAGTGCCTGGCACATTGTAAATGGCTGTAATTATTACTGCATGTATATTACATGTGCCTTGTTTCCTCGACTTGATTGCAAGCTTTGAGAAGGCAAAGACCATCTCATATAGTTTTCTGGTCCCTTCATCACCTGGCACAGTTATCTTATAAATTACATAGTCAGCATGGAGATTTAAAACTAAAGGGCAATTCGGGGTTAGATAAAGGACCTTGACTATCGATTTCCCCAGGGCTCCTCTGGACTTGTCTCTCACTCTAGTATAACCCCTGAATCCACTCTGAGTTGTGGCAATGGTAGTTCAAGGCTACTTCTTACCCTAATCAACAGCGGCCAATCCAATCAAACATTTAGACAATCAGCCAAAAGACTGAAGCTATGTGTCCTGCAACAGAAATTCCAGAAAGTCATGGCATTTAGGAGCTGTTTCTGGGTTTCGTAGGCATTTCTGGCTACTGGATAGCAAGTAATTTCTTTATTTCATCTAAGTTAAACCATGCAGAGTATAATTTATGCCCTCCTTCTTTAGCTCTTCTCATGGTAGAATGATGAGCTAGCTAGCATTTTCCTTATCGAAGGACTTATTGTCACTGAACAACTCATCAGCAACAAGCTCACAGATAACCCATGGCCAACATACTGATCTATGTTTTTGTTTTTTTTTTTTTCAACGTTTTTATTTATTTATGGGACAGACAGAGACAGAGCATGAACGGGGGAGGGGCAGAAAGAGAGGGAGACACAGAATCGGAAACAGGCTCCAGGCTCCGAGCCATCAGCCCAGAGCCTGACGCGGGGCTCGAACTCACGGACCGTGAGATCGTGACCTGGCTGAAGTCGGACGCTTAACCGACTGCGCCACCCAGGCGCCCCCTGATCTATGTTTTTTAAACATGCTTTCTACATTTTTACTTCTTAGTTTTTGTTTTGTTTTGTTTTGTTTTGTTACTTAACAGTTTGATGTGAGCTATTCATCAAAAGATGAAGTTTCATGCTGGTACATATTGATTCCTACCCTCTCTTAGTAAACAGTATAGCAACAAAGTTCAGTAAGGCTGGGTTTCCTTATGGATTGGTGTGAGACCTGCATTTTAACTTGGTATAATCTACGGGTTGGAGGTAGGTTTTGAGAATTTAAAACATTTTCACTATTACTATGAAATATTTGGAAAGTTTGTATAAGGCCTTCCTTTTGGCTCTTCTCATTCTTCGCAGTGCTCTGCCAATAATATTTCTGCTCTGTAGCTAGCACTGCAGCCCCCCCCCTTTGATATTTCTTCTGTCCACTTCCATTCTATCTTAATTTAAAAAATACATTTCTAAAATTTTTTGTTGTTCTATTTTGTCAGTAGACACTTGCAACTGCGCAAGTGTCTGATTATAAGCTGTATGGTGCTGTGAAAAACTTGCAATTGTTTTCCAAAATGACAGGCAGTGTAAATTATAAAACATAAAATAGTATATGTTAAAGCATTGCCAGCAATAAATAAAAACGGCTTATTTGGAGGAAGTAACCTTGGAAATGAGAGAACTAGGCTGGAGGAGGAAACAATCCACATGGTTAGGTTAGGAAAGGAAGAGCCACATTTAGGGGAGCATCTGAGGGACAAGGACGATGGAAACACTCAAGTGACTCCTGATCCTAGACAATCCTCCAAGGGTTAAGTCACAGAGGGCAGTTAGGTTGGGCTAGATTTTCCAGTTTCTCTCCTGAAAGATACTGGACCTTTATTTCCTAGGAATCACTCATTCAGCATTGCTGAGTACCTAACTTGTGCCAGGGGTCTGCACAGGAACTGGATTTGCAAAGATGAAAAGAGCAAAGTTCATCTTCCAGCGTTTCTAGAACACTCTAGGAGGTTAAGTATAAAAGGGCCTTGTTGCAAAAAGAGAAAACAGCAACCAGAAGCTTGGAAGAATCCTCAGGGCTCCACAGAGGAAGTGAGCTGTGGCCTGACGGGTTTTGATAGGCTTTTGTATGTATCTTTCAAGAATAAATGATGTGAAATAAACAGATCATCCCGAAAGGAAAGGGCTGGGAAGAAGCATGGCATATTATATGGGAGATTTAAAACATTTAACTGGAGCAGGAACTTATAGACCAGTTCCTTATAACTGTCAGGAAAGAAGGGTCTAGATGACAAATGAGTGTTAAGTGATCAAACTGACATTCACCCATGTGGAGCGTCTTCTTCTGACTGGCACCTTGCTAAATGGAAATGTGGGCTGCTGTTCTCGAATACCTAGTTAGGGGCGGACAGGGTGCACCCACTTTTATCAGATTTTGCACACCACTTAAGGCTTCTTCCTAGAAGGCTACTTTTGATGGTTCCAAACCCTTTCCTCCCCTCAGCCTCTGTAGTTTTAAGGGCTGTGCGAGGTCTATCTGCAGGGATTTTAGAGGTTTTCCTCATTCTCTTCTGAAGAGAAGTAATAAAAGCATTTAAATTAGCGGGAGGGCGGTTAACACCCGCAGCCCTGGCTTCACTGCACGCCTCGTCACCACCCGGGTTCACTCAGCGCCTGGCTTCGGGGGAGCCGAACAACGTTAACGGCCGCCGGGCAGCAACGGCTCCCGGACAGCGCGCTGCGGACGTCGCGCGCTCGGGACTGGCAGGCCAGCGGCGAGTTCACAAGGCGCAGGGAGGGGGGGGGGGGGCCAGGCCGAGCCGTGGGCGGCACTTGACGAACAGCCCTTGCAACCAATTGGAAGCCTGGTCGACTTTTCCCCCTGCCAATAGCGAGCGGGACCCAGGCTGAGGGGCGCTTCCCGCGGGCTGCGGCTGGATTCGATCCTGCGCGCCGGCAGCTAAGGCGGGGGCGGAGGCTCGGCCTGGGCGGCGGGGAGCGGATTAGGGGAGGAGGGAAGACCGGAAGCCACAGTCGCGTCCCCATCCTTAGATTCGCTCCCCCGGGCTGGGAGCGAAGACGGAGGAGGAGGAGGGAGAGGCTGAATGTTGGCTCCGTAATAAAGGGGAGCGGCCGCTCCGGAGCCTCCTCCCGGGGCGCCCCCTCATCCCGCCCGATCTCTGCACCCCCCACTGGCTCCTGGGCGCCTGGCCCCCGCGGACGGCCCGGCAGCGCAGACCTTCGCTGAAGAGACGCGGCCAGTGGCGGGGACTGGCCGGCGGCGTCCGAGGCCCGCGCCCCGCCGCCACCCCCACCCGCTTGCCCGCCGGTCCCTCCGGCCGCCGCCATGTCCTCCTCCTCATCCTCTCCCAGGGAGGCGTACGAGGAGGACCGCGAGTACGAGAGCCAGGCCAAGCGCCTTAAGACCGAGGAGGGGGAGATCGACTACTCGGCTGAGGAAGGCGAGAACCGCCGGGAAGCGACGCCCCGGGGCGGGGGCGATGGCGGCGGCGGCGGCGGCCGGAGCTTCTCACAGCCGGTAACAAAGCGCGGCGCCCTGTCCGCTGTGCCTGGCGGCTCCCTGGGAAGCAGGGCCGAGCGGCGGGGACTCGGCCCCGGGGCCTTCCGCGCGCCTCGTTGCCCTCTGCTGCTGCGCTGACCGCGTCGGGAAGCGCCGGCTCTTTCTTCTCTTCGGGGTTTTTATTCTTTGCCCTACCTGTTTCCCGCATCCCGACCGCGAACCCGGCTCCGGCCTGGCTGCAGGCCCCGCGTGCGAGTCGTCTGCCGGCCCTGAACTTGGGGAGGGTAGCCCGGCGGGGGCGGCGGGGCGGCGTTGCTTCCGCTCCCGGGGGGCTTCGGTGCGCGATAAGCTCTTTGTTAGTTCAACTCCTCCGGCTGCTGGCCGGCGTCGGGACGCCCCGCTCCCTTCTGCCCCTGTGCCCGCAGCATCTGCGCGCTGGTCACGGTCGCAGGATGGTTGTTGCGTCGGTTCCGCCGGGGTCTCTCTTCACCTGGGTCCTGAGCAGAGCCGTAACTGAATGACAAATTACGCTCTGGAGCTCACACCCTAGTTCGCCTGGAGGTCTAATTTCAAAATTTTTACTCTTGGCAGGCATGGTGCGCATGCTTTGCTACCCAGTTTTAGGATTATTGCTCAGTACAGATCTTAGCTCTTCGGTCAAAAAAACAAGTGTTGGTAGGTGTGAACACCACCCTTACTTTCAAGTAAAACAAATCTTAAAATCACCACAGTTCATGGACGGCTTATTGAAATTTGCCCCACGAAAGGAAGGACTGAGCTCGGAATTGGATTAAACACACCTTCCTAGATTCTTGTTGCTCTTATCAGAAACGTTAGCTGGAGGCAGAAGGAATGTGAAAATCGTCTTATTCGCCGCAAGTAGTAACTCAGCTTCAGTTGCATGGAGACTTTAAGGAAACAAAGCAAAGCAAAAGTCTTTGCCCTTTTTTGGTGTACTTCATATGTGTTAGCGGTTTAGATGTCTTTTAAACATGTGACACATTTTAATTGATTTTTTGAAAGGAGACTTTTCCTGAAATTTAAGAAAATGTACACATATATTCTATTAAAATGTTTTTCACCCTTTATAAGAGGCCAATGATAAGCTTTTTAGGTATTTGAATTTTTAAAAAATATTTATCTTGAGATACAGAGTAGAGTGGGGGGGGGAGGGGCAGAGAGAGGGAGAGAGAGAATCCCAAACAAACCTGAGGGATCACAATCCGATCGGAGCTGAAATCTAGACTCTGGTGCCCAACCGGCTGAGCCACCCAGTGCCCCTAGCTATTTGAATTTTTATATAAAAAAAATTCTGGTCAGTAGTTACCAACGTTAGTTTCCCAATTTGAAGCTGTGACATAGGTTTCAACACATTAGAAAAAAGGAACTTTTTCTTCCTCTAAGTTAATGTTTCCTTATAGCTAGATATGTATGACTTGATTTTTGTGCCTAGGTATTTGGCATGCTCAAAATGTATCTTGGGCTTGCGCATTAAAAAATGCATGTCTTCTAAATGTTTCAGTTCAAAGCCAGTTCCATTGTGGAAGTTTGGAAACAGAAATATTGTAACTGATCTTTTAGAAGGGTCAGTGTATTTCTTTTGCCACAAGTCTTGAGTTTTTTGTGCAGTAGCATGAAATGTCTTAAGTGTGTTGGAAAGATACCTAAATTCTTTAATGAAAAAAATATTTTTTGGGAAACAGATTAAACATTAAGGCAATAGATTATTTTGCATGTTGGGAAGAAAATAATATATGCTTAATATATCCAAAGTGGATGGTATCTGGCAGTGGAAATAGTACTTGTCAGGGCTTGGGGAGAGTCAGGAGTCCTAGCTCGCATATCTGTGTGCCTTTGGGAAAGTCAATTCACCCTAGTCTTGAGTTCTTTTAGTATAAAAGTTGAGCCTTTCTATACCTGAAGTTGTAATTCAGTGATTAATGTAATGCAGCTTTTAAATTACCCAGGCAGGATCTAATAAATGCAGATTGAGTTATAAATTTTAATTTTTGTTTATTTACTGCTATTTTGTTTCTCAGAGTGTGAATTGCTTTTAACAGTAGGAGCAGTGCTGCACTGTGAAATCTAATGAAGGCTTATTTTTCCTGTGTTTAAACCTTTTTCTTCATTCGATTTTTGGTACTATTTTGAAATTATTGCAACTATGGAAACCTGTACATAATAAAATTTTATTAGGATAGGCATTCCCTGGATAAAAGTTTAACGTCTAGTGTGTCATCAGCCAGAAGTATGGTAATTTATCTAACTGAAATGGTTTTGGCTCAACCTCAGTTGTCCGACAGTCCAGCCAGAGAAGAAATACTTTGTGGTCAAACTGTTAAATAACAGCAAATGCAGATTAGATACAATGATGGGCAATCTTTTCAACTCAGTTGGAGGTTTGTCAAGTGCAAAGTAAGTCTTCAAGGATTTACATTATTTAGCTTTTGATAATTAAGTTTCCATGAGTGCTTTAATCTATTTAATCTATTAATTTAATCTATTAATTAGATGTAAAGAGGAAAGAAAGTATTTAAGAAAAGCCATGTTTCTACAAATGCTCCTAAGTTAAAGATGAATTGATCACTGTGAATGATCATGATGTGTTAAGGTGTATAGAGAAGTGAGTTAGTAGTTCGGATATGAGAAATAAGACACTCTTCAAATTTATGTCTTCTGGTACTTAATTTGAAGACCAGAAATTCCTAGAGTGTTTCAGACTCACTGTGCTGCATTGTTGAACAAAGCTGGATTATGAAAGTTTGTGCTGTGTATTATAAGTTACTTTATTCTTGTGGAGTAAGTGGTGGTCTTAAATTTAGAAGTCATGACCTTCAACCTTCAAGATCATATGAATAGTAAATTTCTATATGTTTATTTTTTAGAAAGCAGCTTGACTTCAAGTATTAGGGCTTTACTTGGTGAAACCAATTGAAGAATTAAATTGAGAGGTTACCTAGAAAGATCTGCTTATATAAAGACTGATATCAATAAAAATTTATGGAATGCTAATTCATTTTGGAGACTTTCAAGTTTTTTTTTTTTTTTTTTTACTGTCTTCTGCTAGTGAGTAAACAGGCAAATCAGATTGTTAAAGTGGCTTGTTTGCCGATGAGATGAAAATTTAAGTTTCTCAATGTTTAATAAATAGACTTGTAAGATGGCAAAATGTCATGATAAAAACGTAGATCCTAGGATTTCTTAGCGATATACATTATGTGGAGGAGCTAGTTTGAATTTAAGATACACTATTATACTTTAAGGATCTGAATTACAGAGATGTATAGGAATATTAATGATGGTTTATTAGATGAATACGGGATGGGGGATAAGGTGAGGTCACTTTGTTAGCTTAGTTCCCACAGGAAAAGTTTAGAGGCTGACAGTGAGCATAGTAAATACACCCTGGGGAATGAAAAAGCTAAAGGATGTGTGTGCCCTGGAGGTAAGCGCCAGAGTTTTAATTTTTAAGGCTTCTATAGCAATAAATGTGCTCTGTCTCTAGCTATGCTGCTGTTGTGAGGATTTTCAGGCCTTGTATTAGGAAAGAAGAGAAAGGTAGTAGGTTTTGTTATCTTTTGGTTTTAACAAGTGACTACATTTCTTCATGTTAGTACATACAATGAAAAGAGCTTTTTAATGGACCTATAAGCCCAACCAAGGCAGGTGTTTTGGTTCTGCTACCAACAACATGCTTTGTGACTTAACCTCTCTGGAACTCAACCATCATGAGGAGGTTGGATCAGATGATCACTGTGATCTCTTAATCCATCAAAAAACAATACTTGAGCCCCTTTTATGTGCCAGGTGCTGTTGTCTGTGATGGGGTTATAAAAGTAAAGAAAAAAAAATTCCAGGGGTGCCGGGGTGTCTCAGTTGGTTAAGCGTTGGTCTCTTGATTTCAGCTCCAGTCATGATCTCACAGTTTGTAGATTTGAGCCCCAAGTTGGGCTCTGCGCTGATGGTGCAGAGCCTGGTTGAGATTCTCTCTGTCTCTCTCTCTCTGCCCCTTCCTGGCTTGAGTTCTCTTTTTCTTTCCCTCAAAATAAATTAATTTTAAAAATTCCATATCTAAGGGGCGCCTGGGTGGCACAGTCGGTTAAGCGTCCGACTTCAGCCAGGTCACGATCTCGCGGTCCGTGAGTTCGAGCCCCGCGTCAGGCTCTGGGCTGATGGCTCAGAGCCTGGAGCCTGTTTCCGATTCTGTGTCTCCCTCTCTCTCTGCCCCTCCCCCGTTCATGCTCTGTCTCTCCCTGTCCCAAAAATAAATAAACGTTGAAAAAAAAATTTTTTTTTAATTCCATATCTAAAAATCTGTGACTCTACGTCATTTAATGCCTTTTTTTTTTTTTTTGCCTCTGAAATTGAATACACCTTTCAAAGCTTGTAGTTTCAGCCACAGCAACAATTCAGGTGAGCTTAAGCAAAACAAAAAGTTGGCCCGTGTAACTGAGAAAGCTAAGTTGTGGTCGCGGTTTCAGGCATGGCTGGATCTAGGGATTTAGATGATGTCACTGAAACTTGATTCTATATGCTCTATTTCCTCCATGTAGTTATAAAACTAGACTTGCAATTTTTATAGCTAGCAAATAGAGAATACTCTTCTCCTCTCCCCGGTGCCCATATTTATCCCTTCTGATCAACACTTTTTAGCTTCCCTAGCCCTGCAGCTAATCACTGGGCTACTTCTGAAGTTGGATAGGCATGACTGTGTGATTGAAAATACCAGTGGAATAATACAGAGTTCAGGGTTGTGTATGTGTTTAACCAGAAGAAGGGGGAAGGGGATCTGGGTAGGCAAAACCAGAGAATCCCTGCTGCATGAGTAAAAAAGTAAAGGTTATTTTTTAAAAAGTTATTTGAATGGTATGGCTGTTCTTTTTAATTTTGCTCTGTTATGGGATCAAGTGTACCTGAAAACTTAGGTAAGAAAATGAAAGGATTTCTCATATTTTGGATCTGCTGTATTGTTTCTTTAAAAAAAGAAAGAGACGAAGAGATGTGATTGTTTAATTTAG